AATCAAAGGAAGGAAGAACAACTGATGGAAGAATCAAAGGAAGGAAGAACAACTGATGGAAGAATCAAAGGAAGGAAGAACAATTGATGGAAGAATCAAAGAAGGAGAGAACAACTGATGGAAGAAATCAAGGGAGGAATAACAACTGATGGAAGAACAACTGATGGAAGAATCAAAGGAAGGAAGAACAACTGATGGAAGAATCAAAGGAAGGAAGAACAACTGATGGAAGAATCAAAGGAAGGAAGAACAACTGATGGAAGAATCAAAGGAAGGAAGAACAATTAATGGAAGGAATGAAGAAGGGAGAGAATAACAACTGATGTAAGTAGGAAATAACTGACAGAACAGGGAAATAAAGGAATAACAACTGATAGCATTTGAGGGAACACCAATTGACCAAATGAAGGAAGGAGGGAATAACTGACAGCAGGAAGGAAGAAAGCCAAGAATAAGAACCAACCAGAGGAAGGAAATGATGAGAAAATAACAACTGATCGAAGGAATGTTAAAAAAGGAACTGAAAAAACGAAGGAAGAAAGGAGGGACCAACTGAAACAACTCGTAGAAGGAGTAAAAGTGGGTACAAAAACTAATGCAGGCCATAGACGGGGAGAAAAAACGGGCGTGGTTTTTTTTTTTTTTTTTTTTTTTTTTTTTTTTTTTTTTTTTTTTTTTTTTTTTTTTTTAAAAACGAAAAAATCGGTCAATCAAGCGGCTGACGTTGCCACCAATGGTAAAAAAAATCGGCCGATTTTCATCCCGTCTACAGCCGGCAAAAAGTGTCCCTGCAGAGAGCTCTGCTATTTCTTTGACAGTTCTTTGACATTTACAGAGGTTGCAACAATGTATCTATTTGTATCCATTTAGGATACAGATGTTTTTATTCGGAAACAAATAGATACAATGTTGCAACCTCTGTAAATGTCAAGGAACTGTCAAAAAACTGTCAGAAATAGCAGAGCTCTCTGCAGGGACACTTTTTGCAGGACTGGAATTCCTCTTATTTTTCATCCTTCGCCTTCTCCTTCTCCTCCCATTATTGCTGCGAAAATCGGCCGTTTTTTTCCAACTTTACCGATTAAAAAAAAAAAAAACGGCCAAAATACCGAAAAACGGCCGAACAAATAGCCCACTAACGATCCGAAAATCAGCCAATTTTATTTTCGGCCGAAAAATCGGCCGATTTTTACGACCCATCTATGGCCTGCATTACAGAAGGAAGTTAATAGTTTTGAGTCTCACCTGCTCTCTAGCTTCAATGGAGGGCAGTGAGACTAAACAGAACATTATGTCACATAGCAGACTTTTGGTCCCAGTGTAATAAATAAAGTGTAAAAAAGAAAAGGTACACCCAAGTACTTAACCCATCCAAAAGAGTCACGTGTGGAAAATGTAGAGTGCCGCGTGCACACAGTTTCAAGTCTTGACATATTGCATATCTATTTACCTGGCATAATCTCATCTTTCTATTTTACCAAAAAAACAAAAACCTGCAATATACCTCCTTTTTTGTGTACCCTAAAATTTGTGTTTTTACTGAAAATTTGTGCTTGATAAACCCTTACACTAATGTTATGTGACATTGGAGTTACCACCATTTTATTCTCAAGGGTCTCGGCTTTCCGAATTTTAATTTTTTTTTTTTTTTTTTTTTTGTTTTCCTTGGGAGTATTTGAACTACTCTTCAGGCCTAAAATTATTTTTATGCAAAAACCACCAAAAATGGCTATGGAAACAAAAGAGGTTATATTGCCTTTTTTGGCTACTTTAACACTGTTCCTGTGCAAAAACTGTGCTATAAAATGCATATATGTATTATTTCTGCTGCGTTTTTTTTTTTTTTTTTTTTATGTTTGTTTGTGCTGTTTCTTATGCCTTTTGCACCTGTGACTCAAAAAATGCACCAAACACGAAATTGAAGAGGAGGTGTTTTTGTGGTATTGTTGATGTATTTCAATGGGGGTGTACTCCTCCTTCCCCCCCCCCCCCCCCCCCCCCCTTTTCTTCTTTTTTTTTTTTTTTTTTTTTTTTTTTTGTTTTTTCTTCAAACCAGAAGGAAAAACTGATCAGTGTGAAAGCAGCCTTTTTATTTATAGAAAGGACCTTGCAATGCACTTGCTGATCTCTACTTCTAAAAAAAAAAAAAAAAAAAAAAAATGCTACTTGCCTGGCTGTCACGTTGACACTGTATGCAAACACATGGCAGTTAGGAGTTCTGCCTTTTTTTAGTCTAGCCTCCAGATCAGCATGAGGTCAAAGGATTGGCATTTTTCAGCTGGAGGTCCTTTAATCTCTGCCTGATAATGCCTCTCCCTGATCTCTCTCCATGCAGCAGGGTAATGTGTAATGAGTTTTCCTCTCCAACCAATAGGAGCTCAGTATGCAAAGCAATGAACTTTTCCCTCATTCCAGAAGATCAAAAATACAACCCCAGCTGTCCAGCTCAGCGCTCCGGAACAATTGCTGGACTAGGACCATTACATCTGGTTAGGAACCCTCCACCCACCACTAGAAATGCCTTTTCAATTGTGTCCACGTGCGTCACTGTTTTTGTTTTTGTATTTCTCCGGAGTAAGGAGGGCCTGTGTCATCAATGCAAAAAAATAGCTGGTAAAAGCACAGAAAAAAAATAAGTATTTTTTTATAGGTGTATTTGTGGTTGTTTTGTTACATAAAAATATATTTTTAAAATATTATGTATTTAAAGAATTGTTTGCAATTTGCCTTGAGACTTTGTTAGAAGTTTTGCCGACTCTAGGACAAGTCGATTTTCGTAGATTGTCAGTGCTCTCTTCTTCTAAGAGTATCTACTTGTCTGTGCTGGCCCAGCTCCCCTCCCATTAACGTCTTGTATAACCTTTTATGTAGTAGCAGGGGGAAGAAAGAAGGGGAATACTAAAGAGCATGGGGTTACCAAAGTTTCTTAATAAAGGCCCAGTTTACTGCCCTCGAGACTTTAGAGGAGCCGGACTTTGGCCAGTGGGAGAAGAACATGCCCCAGCATTTGTGGGAGGAATAGTGCCCCATCATTGGTATCAGTGGGAGGAATAGTGCCCCATCATTGGTATCAGTGGAGGAATAGTGCCCCCATCATTGGTATCAGTGGGAGGAATAGTGCCCCATCATTGGTATCAGTGGGAGGAATAGTGCCCCATCATTGGTATCAGTGGGAGGAATAGTGCCCCATCATTGGTATCAGTGGGAGGAATAGTGCCCCATCATTGGTGTCGGTGGGAGGAATAGTGCCCCATCATTGGTATCGGTGGGAGGAATAGTGCCCCATCATTGGTGTCGGTGGGAGGAATAGTGCCCCATCATTGGTATCAGTGGGAGGAATAGTGCCCCATCATTGGTATCAGTGGGAGGAATAGTGCCCATCATTGGTATCAGTGGGAGGAATAGTGCCCCATCATTGGGAGGGTGTCAGTGGGAGGAATAGTGCATCCCATCATTGGTATCAGTGGGAATAGGCCCCATCATGGTTCCCCCTGTCATTGGCATTGGTATCAGTGGGAGGAATGGTTCCCCCTGTCATTGCGTCAGTGGGAGGGAATGGTTCCCCCTGTCATTTGTGTCTGTTTGCCTCAGTCTGGTCCTTTTTTGGAGAACTATTCCATCCACAGCCACATCTATCCCCTGGGCTGCAGCTTGGAGACCACTGCTATAGGCTATCACTTTAGTCTGCTGGGGATGCCAACATAACATTCAACATGAGCTCAGGGCTTATGCATATCTACACATTGAATGCTACTACAGGTAAGTAACATGCATGAAATATGTTGAATGCAATTTTTTTTAATCAAGTGTTTGTTCTTACAAGTGTAAACCTGCCCCGTGTGCACAGCTCCGCTCTCCCATTGAGCTCATTGGGCCAGTGGTTTGACATTCCCCCTGCACAGTGCTCCGATCCATAATCCCTCTGCTCAGTACCCATGTTAGCATGTGTGTTAGCACCCCATTACCATCCTTGGGGCCCCACAAATGGAAGGACAGTGTCCTCTTACTTTAACCAGCCAGTTAGTCCAACCCCAGTACTAACTACATAGACATTTCGAGAGTAGCTGTGAGGAAGATTGCCTCTCCCAGCAGTTCTTCACAACGTTCAGTCCCATGGTGAACACCGCCTGCAGACTAGGAAAGGAGCCATAACATTACATAGGCAAGGCCCTGCTATACCGTGGTTCCAGGCCAGGTCCCTGGGATCAGCCCTGTACCATGTATTGAAGACAAAATATTGGCAGTCCAGAGTGGTGCTTCCCACCATCTAGACCTCAATCTAACAGGCCTCCACCGCTCTTTCTCAAGCTGGCTCCTCCTACTTCCAGTAATTTCACTTGCACTTTTTTTTTCCCAAAGCATTGAAACCCCATGTTCACACTTCTTCGCAATGATCAGGCCAGACCTAGTAGTTCAACCATTGAATACTGGATTTGCACTCAAATAACAGTAGTTCCAGTAATATTTCTTCACTTTATGGTGAAATAATAGAACATCCATATGTTGCAATAACAGGGCGAGGTGCTGTGCGTACCTTCCCGGAATATCAGACTGGCTCTGCTGATTAAATGAGAAACAGCACTTGTCCATAGTAGTCCCTTTTTCTTAAAGGGTCCCACTGTGGGGTAAATCTAATGACCGTAACAGTACTCCAGTGACACCCCCCCCCCCCCCCACCACCACCACACTACTCCAATCAGTGACACTCCTCCCTGCACCATACTCCAATCAGGGGAACCCCCCCCCCCCCCCCACCCCACACCATACTCCAATCGGTGGCACCCTCCCTGCACAGTTCTCCAATCAACAATGCTGCTCCAGGAGCACAATGTACCATATGATCCTAGATTGTAAGCTCCAAGGATCAGGGCCCTCCTATCCCTCTTGTATTGTTGCTGTATTGTCTCCTGTTATATTGTAAAGCGCTGAGCAAACTGTTGGCACCATATAAATCCTGTATAATAATAATATGCTAACATTTTGTTATTTATGCTCCGCAGGCCACGCCCTTACTTGTAAAGTCTGTATGGTTTCCTATTCCACATACTGCAATGGCGATACCAGCATGGTCTGCCCGAAAGGACAAGTGTGCGTCTCGGCATACACCCTGACAACCATGGGTGAGTTCCGCTGGTAGGGCAGTCGGCTTATGTTTGGTTTGCAGTCAAAAGCTCCATCCTAATGAACCTTCGAACTCTCTGCAGGTCTATGGGACTCTAGCTTATAAATTAAAAAATGTCCATTTCGAAGGCTTATATGCAAGCTATTGGCCATAAAAGGGGTATGGGGACTCGGGTCGTGCCCCAAGGGACATGAGTCGGTGTGGAGGAAAAAATAAGTACGTGTGTTTTTTTTTTTTTTTATTTGTTTTTCACTGTTTTTAAAGTTAAAAAAAAAATTCCTTTTTTAATATCATGCCGGGGGTCGTCCCTTTTTAAACTGCCAAGTTGCACATCTGTACAATGTATAGAACCTGCTGCAACAGGACTGACTTTTCTTTCTTTAAAACAGTGTGGGGTCCCCTCAATCCACACCAGACCCTTTAGGTCTGGTAGGAAGATTAGGAGGGTCCCCAGTTTTTTTTTTTTTTTGGGGGGGGGGTGTGCGTGGGTTCCCCTTCCAAGCCATACCGGGCCCTTTAGGCTGTAAATTATGTAGTGTGGGAGTCCAGGTATAGTGAATGCAGGGTCCTGGGTTTAGTGACACTTTACCTTCTACTTCTTGGACTGAGGTGACTACTTGGGGAGGACTGGTGCTGGTTCTTGGCTTAAATCTGACACAGATTGACCCTTGCTGCAGCTTCTTGGCTTGTTATAATATTGCAGTCTGATCATGGGGGAGAGGAGACTTGCACACCGGGTGCGACTTGCCATGCCATATGAGTTGTAAATCGCATGGCAATTCGCACCCTGCTGTCTGCAATTAAAGCGGTCCTATCAGTGCAATTCCAACTTGGACGGAGCTGCACCGATCTCTAAAGTAGTGCATGCGCTACTTCAGGTGCAACTAGCATAGACATCTGGGAAGTCGTGTGACTTCCCGACTTTTAAATCGTGTGTGACTTCACTGGAAAATGTAAGTCTGATCGGCTTCATGTACTCGAGCCTACCCTGACCGCAGGAAACAGTGAATCGCTGCAAAAACCCAGTGCCATGTTTTGCGTTCTCACACAGTCGGCGGTCAAAATATTCCTATCCTAAACTTGATTCTATCACGTTCAGGAGAGGGAGGTTTAGCCTCACCTAAATGCAGAAGCTTGTAAACTCTGGTAAAAGACTGTGTGTACATGGACAAAGGCTGTTACTGAGTTGAGTTTAGGAGCTTTGGCAAAAAAAAACACCAAAAACTCCTAAACTCAAATTCCGGAGCTGAGTAGGGATAGGTTAGGGACACTCTATCCTCTACAACGGTGGTTTCTACACAAGGGGCCAGTTTACTGTCCTTCAGACTTTGAGGGGGCCAGACCGTGAGTAATACCATGTGAGTATACCATATGCCCCATTGTTTGTGTCGGTGGGAGGCATAGTGGCCCCATTGTTTGTGTCGGTGGGAGGCATAGTGGCCCCATTGTTTGTGTCGGTGGGAGGCATAGTGGCCCCATCGTTTGTGTCGGTGGGAGGCATAGTGGCCCCATCGTTTGTGTCGGTGGGAGGCATAGTGGCCCCATCGTTTGTGTCGGTGGGAGGCATAGTGGCCCCCAGGCCTCACTTTGGAGACTCCTGCTCTACAGGAATCCTCCCAATTGGACACAGACTTGCCAGGCCACATGGGGCATGCCACAGCATCTCAATCGGATTTAATCCTCTTAATTAGGCACAGACTTGCCACATGGGGCGGACGCTGTCAGCACATTAGAACTGCGAGTGTTCCCAGCCGAATGTTCCCCCATTAAGTTGTTTGACTTTGAGCCATTACTTCAATACAAGTTTTTGTTAATTGCAACTGGATTGAAAGTGGTTACTACTGTCACACTACGTTTCCCCACCAACACCCTTTCTATTGTGGCCAGTTGGAAGAATGTCCCCTTACAGTAGTGGTCAGAATTCTTCCCTTACAGATAGCTGAAAAGATCATTGGTGTCATGCTGCTGGCTCTGCCAATTGGCATTGTTCCTGGAACCATGTAGGTACCATTTAGATGGGTCAATCAGCCACAGATCAAGAGACTCCCAGGAACCTCCAGAAGAACCAAGGGGTTCCATGGAATCCTGGCTGAGGGTGGCTGTAATATTCAGACGAACCACCTACGTGAAGAAGATTTCTATAATAAGCATACTAGAGGATGGAAAATTTAGTCAGCAAAAGTATATCGGCAGCCAATGGTGACACTTCAGCCTAGGTTCCGTAACCTCCACTCTGAATTACCGTTGTCATTTATTAATACGAATATCTTTCTATAGGTCATTCTAAAGTGAGTGAAGAATTTTCCAGGGGATGTGCCCCTAAGGACCAGTGTAATACCCCGGGCAGTATCAGCATACCCGGGGGCAAGATAAAGAGGAACACATCCTGCTGTTTCACAGATAACTGCTATCCGCCAACACCCACATGTAAGTCTTACCATTTTCCTTGTGAGAATCTAACGATCCTTCATGGGATCAAACATGTTACCAAGATCTTAAAAGGCTTGGGGGGAAGCTGTAGAAATAGCACCCATATGGCCAAACATTTGTGGAAACTTCACCATCATGCCTTTTTTTTATGAACTTGTTAGATGTGGCAGCCCAAAACTATGGGAATTAATATGGATTTGCACCCCCACACTCTTCATCCTTCACTATTCTGGGAAGACTTTGGACAAGATTTTGGAAACAAGCTTTAGAAGGTTTATTAGCCACTTTCAATGCAGACGGGTCTGATGGAATTCTTCTTTAAATTTTGTCAGTGCCTGAAGATAACTTTGAACCAAATGGAGTGACCTGTGCCACTTGTGCAAGTTCGTATTCAGATTGGTGTTACAATGACAAAACCATGAGATGTACCGGTGACGAAAATATGTGTATTCTGGAATCTTCACATCAGTATGGTAATTATATTTCTATATTATATACACAAACATATTGTGTGTGTGTGTGTAGATACTTTTTCACAGCACTGTGTGTGACGGGCGCAGCGTCAGACCCCAGCCCTTATCGCCAAACTCGTGAGCGAAGGACTAGCCAATCTAAAACCGCGATGTCACGTGCGTAACAATGCTGCACCCTGCACAATGATTTTCCAGCTAATTGGACCACAATCGATGTACCTGCAACCTGGGAGTATTTGTTACTAGGTCAGGTTAATTAAGCAATTAACCCTTCACACTGCTGCCACCTCCTTTTTATACAGAGAAAGAAGAAACTCCGCAATACACTAGGGATGATTGGTTAACCGTCAGTATCCCGCTATCTCTACAGACCGGTTATACAGAGGGTTAAATACTCAGAGTAGCGTTCTTCCGCAGCAATGATTCGTAAGTTACATTCAGGAGCTATAGAAACAGTGCTTTTAGAAAGTAGGATTTATTACTAAAAGGTCAAAAAGGGTGCAGTAGAAATATTTACAGAAAAAGATGTAACATATATATATATATATATATATATATATATATATATATATATATATATAATATATATATATATACAGAGCACAACCGCACAGCAAACAGATAACAGAAGTTTAGGTAAATAAGTACTTGCCATATAAATGCCTGGGGTTAAGCAGTTTCAAGTCTGATGAGCTAAAAAGGGATTTCTGGTCTTGCACCCGGTTTTGTTGTTGCACCGAGATTCTCCTTTGCTTTCTGTCCGATGTTATATCGCAGACGGTCCTCACTTCTCTGACTACACCCAAAACATAACCGCTTCTTTTTTCTACACCACATCAACTGGTATCTTCACTATCGTATTTGGCAAGAGGATTGTTTAAACAGCTACACTGAACGCCTTTCTAAGGGAGGGGGTGGAATGAGGGGATACAGAAGACTTCTTCTTAATTGTGAGAGCCTGTGCCTGGCTCTTGTTGTATGCACGATGCTACACCCCCCCCCCCCCCCTCCCTCAAGTGATGGCATATGAATTTAAGAGCAATACCAAAATGTAGAAGTTTGGGGTAAAATGGAGAACCACACCTCTACCTGTGGGCATGATTGTGACACTGTGTGTATTCTATATTTTCTCCCTTCCTTAATAATATATATATTATATAAAAAATTTTTTTTTTTTTTTTGCATATTTTTCAAATTTTTTACACATAATTGTTTCAGATCGTTAAAACAAATTTTAATATTACACAAAGCTATCCTGGGTAAGTACAGAATGCAGTTTTCTATATTGATTTCCTGTCCAAACCTGCCTGGCCCTATGTGAAAAAGTAATTGCTCCCTAAACCTAATAACTGGTTGTGCCACCCATGGTGGCAACAACTGTAATCAAGCATTTGCGATAACTGGCAATGAGTCTTTCACATCGCTGTGGCGCAATTTTGAGCCACTCTTCTTTGCAGAATTGTTTTCGTTCAGCCACATTGGAGGGTTTTCCAGCATGAACGGCCTGTTTAAGGTCATGCTACAGCATCTCAAACTGATTTTGACTAGGCCACTTCAAGCCTTAATTTTTGTTTTTTTGAGCCATTCAGAGATGGACTTGCTGGTATGTTTCGGATCAATCCTGCTGCATAACCCAAGTGCGCTTGAGCGTGTGGTCTCCTTCATGTTTTTTTTTGGTAGAGAGCAGAATTCATGGTTCCATCAATTATGGCAAGTCCTCCAGGTCCTGAAGCTGCAAAGCAACCCCAGACCATCACACTACCACCACCATGTGTGACTGTTGGATGAGGTTCTATTTTATTAATTGCTGTTCGCTTTACACCAGACATAACGGGACGCACACTTTCCAAAGAGCTCAACTTTTGTCTCATCAGGCCACAGAATATTTGCCCAAAAGTCCTGGGGATAATCAAGATTTTTTTTTTTTTTTTTTTTTTTTTTGGCAAATGTGAGACAAGTCTTTGTGTTATTTTTGGTCAGCGGTGGCTTTCGCTTTGGAACTCTCCCATGGATGCCGTTTATGCCCAGTCTTTCTTATTGCTGAATCATGAACACTGATCTTAAGTGAGGACTGCAGTTCTTTAGATGATCTGAGTTCATTTATGACTTCCCAAGAGTAGTTGAACTACCAAATTTACCTACTAAGAACACTTATCTACCCCTGTTCCACGTTTTCTCCATTTGTGGATAATTGCTCTCACCATGGTTCGCTGGAGTCCCAAAGCCTTAGTAATGGCTTTGTAACCCTTTCCAGACTGATGCATGTTGATTTTGCTTTTACTTTTTTTTTTTTTCTCATCTGTTCTTGAATTTTCTTTTGCTTTTTTTAGATCTTTTAGTGTGCTTCACCTTGTTGGACAGCTTCTTGATTCAACTGGTCTGGCAGTAATCAGGTCTGGGTGTGGCAAGTGAAATTTAACTTGGCTTTCCAAAAAAAGTGGTTAATCACAGTTCATGATTTAGCAAAGGGATCAATTACTTTTTCACATAGGTTTGGACAGCTTTTCTTCCCTTTTAATAAATGAATTTGTTTAAAAACTGCATTTTGTATTTACTCAGGTTTTCTTTGTGTAATTATTAAACTTGTTTGATGATCTGAATCATTTAAGCGAGACAGGGACACAGAGACCGTCCAAGCAAATTTTGTCCTGCAAACAAGGTGCAGCCAGGCTTTGTTCAGCAAGTCCATAGCATAAAGCAAACAAAATACCCATTTGTCCAAGCTAGTAACTAAATTCAGTTCAGTTGCTGACTAACAGGGTACCCCCTAATAAGCTCCCCCAAAAAAAGGTAGCTCTTGCACTTTAGTGTTCAGTCAGCCTTTCCACCCAGGGGGCTTGATAAAGCCTTGAGCATCAGTCAGCCTAAATGTATAAAGGCCTGTGCACAGATGACACTTATGATGTGTGACCACCAGGTAAGATGTGGACCTAGGATTGGAGGCTTTCTCACCAAAAGCTCTACAAAGCCTCTGGGCTTCATGATTCGGAGAAATATTGATTTTTTTTTTTTTTTTTTTTTTTAAGATTCTGAAAAAACAAAAAGCTTGTTTTTCCTCACATCAGCCACAGACCCTGGAGCCCCTCACCCTGACTATGTGAGAAAGTTAGGTGACATCTAAGTGCCATCTCTTCCAAGAAATGAACACATAGCTCTTATAGCTTTTAGTGTTCTGTCAGCAGTCAGTCCTTTCACTTAGCAGCAGGCTCTCTTAGAAAAGCGTTCTGAGCATCAAATAGTTTAAATACAGAAAGACCTGTGCACAGATGACGCTTACAATTAGGTCTGGCTACCAGGTAGGATGTGGAACTAGGAATGGAGGCTTTATTCAGCCCAAAGCTCTACAAAGCCTCCAGGTTTCAGGGCCCTGAACAGGATTTATTCTAATAAGTGTTTTGTTTTCTCCACATCAGTCATAGACCCTCTTGCCATCTCTTCTCCCAATGAGAATATGTAGTTCTAACTTTTAGTGCTCAGTCAGCAAGCCTTTTCACCCAGCAGCAGGCTCTCATAGCAAAGTGAGCACAAAAGAGCCCTGAGCATCAGTCAGATCAAGTCTATAAAGTTCTGTTCCCCAGTGTAACGTCCGTCTACCAGGTAAGACGTGGACCTAGGCGTGGAGGCTTCAGGCAACCCAAAGGTCTACAAAGCCTCTGGGCTCCAAGGCCCGGACTAGGTCTTTTCCACATCAGCCATGACCCTGGAGCTCTCTAGGTAAGCCTTTCTCAACCAGGGTGCCTTGGTTTCTTCAGGGGTGCCTTGGCAAAATGTCTAAAGCCTGCCTTTTAGCTATACAAAGCCACAGGTTCTCATTGTGCACCATTTATGACCTTCTAGCTGCCGGTGTCCTGACAACCATTGACATCATCAGTTGATAAGGATGTCAGTTGCCTCCCCTGCGCCTCTCCATCAGTGCTGAGGAAACAGTGATGGAGAAAAATTGAGGGAGAAGAGAAAAACTGGAATACTAGCCAGTACCAGTGTGCAAAAGTGTATTTGCTTTGGAAGAATAAATCGCCTCTAACGTTGGGTGTCCTACATGTGTGGATGTTGCTGAGTTATATATAAAAACTATTAGAATTATTTTTTCACATTTTTAGAATGGGGTGCCTTGGGACTGTCCATAATTTTTAAAGGGTATCTTGACTGAAAAAAGGTTGACTGTAGGTGTCACACAACTTTGAATTCAGAAGCAAATGGTTAATCTAACACACACTTTTCTTTTTTTTTTTTTTTTTTTTTTTTTTTTATTTTATATCCTGTTCCATTTACCTTGTTATGCAGGTCTCCTGACACTTCTTTTTCTGCTCCCCATGGCTCAGTATCTAGCCTACTCTGTGCATCCACATGAAAGCTAACATACTTATTGATTTTATACCCACACTAATTGCAATTTTAAAATGCCAAAGATGTGAGCCAAATGTGAAGCAAAAAGAGTGCACCAATCTTGCACATTATCTCATTAATTCTGTGATTTTATTAAATAAGTGTGTGTGTAACTTTTTTTTTTTTTATTTATTTAATAAAATCACAGAATTAATGAGATAATGTGCAAGGTTGGTGCACTCTTTTTGCTTCACTTCACAGTATTGGTCGGGCTTCCCCAGCCTTGTTGTAGAGCTGCACAACCTTCCATACACTGGTGCAATTGTTTTGAGGTTCCTCGATTCCTCCACCCCTGGTTTGAGTCCTAGAGCGCAGGAGGTGTTGTCTCTGCATCTGCTCCAAGGCCAAACATCACAGGGGCTGGAGACCTTTTTGATCCGGGCCATTTTGGGTGATTTCTGGTATCAAGATTTTAAAAAGGAGCCAGACAACTATGATAATAAATGGCTGCATGCAATCACCATCCTTTAAAATACATGATCAGTTATATTTTCAATATCAATGCCACAAATTTCTGCCAGGGGATGCAAACTTTTGAGCACAACTGTAATATTTTTTTTGAAAGATTGGAATCCGAAAATGTATTGCATTTTGGCCACTGGATGGAGCTGATGAGCTAAAAATCCTGGGAAATGACAGTATTTCTAAAAATACGGATGGCATTTGTGCAGCCTGGACGAATGCTGGTGACATTCATCCAACACACCCACTTTTACAATTTCCTTTTACATTTAATTAGTGTAAGGGCCTACCTGACTGGACATAAATTGAATGCATACTCTTTTAATGGTAATAGGGTCTTCGTAAACAGTATATATGAACTGCTCTGATATTATTAATAAAAATATATTATATATAGGGGCGGCACAGTGGCTTAGTGGTTAGCACTTCTGCCTTGTAGTAAATGGGTCATGGGTTCAATTCCCAACCATGGCGCCTCCTGCATGGAGTTTGCATGGTCTCCCTGTGTTCACGTGGGTTGTCTCTGGCTGCTCCAGTTTCCTCCCACACTCCAAAGACCTGCTGGTCGGTTAATTGGCTCCTGTCTAAATTGTCCCAGTTTCATCCCTGGCCATGTGGGATCTCCTGCATGGTGGGGGTTGGGGAAAGACCTGGCAACCTACCCTCTAAAAATAATTACTAAGAAAATTCATGGAAAAAGTTACTGGGAATGCAACAGCATGTACTATATTGTACTATATATATAGTATTGTGTGTTAATATCACTTGACCAGTAGATGGCACTATAACTAAAGGTTACTAGTTGTGTATAGCTGAAAACCTGTTGGTTCTTTCTTCTTCTCTATCATCTTCCGGAAGTAATCTGTCTGCTGAAAAATGTGCTTTGTATGTTTGCAACTTAAGCCACACAAGTAAAGTCATAATTCTGCCTCATCACTACCAGTGTCTTCTATAACACATAACCAACAAAAGTCCCTTGCGAGTGACGGTCCATGCAATCGCCAAGGGTCGGATACGACTGAATAGATCTAATATATATTTTTTTTTTTTTCTCTTGAATAGAACCCATAGATCAAATGTTGGCACTACGCGGATGTGCAACACGAAGTATATGCGATATTGGAACGCAGGAGATCTCGTACGGGCACATTAACATGACCATGAAGATCAAATGTTCAAGTGCAAGTTCCCCTTTATACAGCCACCTCGTCCTCTCCTTCACTTTCACTGTTGCTGGGATCCTAGCTGTCCTATCCTCCTGGGGATAGGAAGATCGGCACGGCACAGCAAGACTCGCACTGACAATACTGTTCTGTTGAAAAATGTGTACATTTCAGGCTGATATTAAAAACCGCATTGAATTCGGCTATTTTAATTTTATGTATGAAATGTAATTTTAATTGCAACGAAGGTAAGTACTTGAGTGTAAGGTAATCGGCCTTCTGTAATCCTCCTGGATAGTAGAGGAAAGAATGGAAGTACAACAGCTATGGTATTGTATACATGGGATAACTGAGAACAGGCTGACAGGAGCAGAGAGCAGAGTGATGACCTCATCTGTCTCCTGCTGCTCCTTCACTGACCAGTTACATCCTGGAGGTAGGAAGAGGACCTAGCTGTATTGCCTTACTGCAATAGGGAAAAAAAAAAAAAAAAAAGGCAGATCACCGGCGTGGCTGTGCTGTGTGGTAGAGCTGTGTAAATCTCAGGACTGCATGATCAGAAATGCAATTGCTTTACCTGCTAAAGGATTTTTTTTTTTTCAACTGTATATTTTTGCCTCTTCCCTGCAGCTTTAATTTGCTGAAAAAAGCCAAAGGCGTAATAGATCAATAGTGACATTTTTGGTGTCAGCATGTAATGCACCAAATGCATGGGTCTGGAAAACCTGCACTCAGTTGTCAGTGCTGAGCTGTACTCTGGACGTTTCTTGTAAGCTTCTCCCCACTAAGACTGATCACTGAGAGGATAACCTTTCTATATGCCATAGCAGGAATTTACACCTGCTATGCTCATTGTTAGGGGTTCCCACCACCCCTGTGCTGAGTTCCTGGGTCTGTACACCTGTTGTACTTGTTATGAGGGGTTTCCCACCATCCCTGTACTGAGTTTCCAGGTCTGTACACCTGCTGTGCCCATTATGAGGGGTTCTCACCATCCCAGCATTCAGTTCCTGGGTCTGTACACTTTCTTGCCCATTAGGAGGGGGTTCCCACCATCCCTGCATTCAGTTCCTAGGTCTGTACATCACCTTGCCCATTAGGAGGGGGTTCCCACCATCCCTGTATACAGTTCCTAGGTCTGTACACCTGCTTAACCATTATGAGGGGCTCCCACCATCCCTGCACTGCATTTTCCAGGTCTGTACACCTGCTGTGCTCATTATGAGGGCTTGCCACTATCTCTGGGCTGAGTTACCAGGTCTGTACCCTTGCTGCTCCCATTATAATGGGTCCTACTAGGGATGCACTGATACCTGTTTTTTAACAGAGGGTACTAATACTTGTCCTCAAGTACTCATCGATACCAATTACTATTACCGTGCAATTTGGGCCCATACAAAATCGCACTGCAAAGAATCACATGTGCTTTGGTCAGGAATGAAACATTCTCTTCATCCCCCCCCCCCCAGCTGCCTGAGGATATCCCTAAGCAAGGGGGCCCAGGAACTGCTGACCGCCCTCTCCCCTTATCTGGCCTGTAGCGTATAGGAGTGCTCACACCGTCATCTCCGGTGAGCTTAGTGGGTTGGTGGTGGTGGTTGCCTTCAGGCCTTACACTGGGTTGGCTCCTTCCCTTCTGCACAGGCTGTCCTTCCTTGGAGACCTCAAGGCAGTGGAGATCCTCCTTTCCAGCGACCTGCCTGTAGGAAGGCCCTCTCCCAGACCCCACAGTCCAGCCTTCCTCACTCCATCTTTCATCTGACAATCATTACTGTTCCCCCAGGATCTGTCATATTTGAGGGTTGCCTTGGTCACCATGCCCAGCCTTCTGCTAGGGGATTGGACAAGATCCCTCAAACAGGCAGTTTTGGGCCTCCTCCCCTCTTCCAGAAAGTTCTCAACTTTCTAGAAAGGTGGGAGGGCTCCAGAAGCCCTGACCTGTAGCCTCCCAGCCTGTCCTGAGGTGAACTCCTGCCTCCATCACAGGCTGACTCCCCATGCTACTCAGCCTCTATCTAACAAAAGTAAAACCACAAACTCTCTAGAGGGCATTATATTATTATGAGATTGTCTATAAATAAACCATTTTTATTTCATTAGATCATGTGTTTGTGTCATTAATCCACGTTCATATGAATGAAAGCCTCCCTGGATGGGACATGTTAGCAATAGTGCCTGGATGGCATAACTTCTAAACGAAATGTACATACAAATTTCCCATGGGACTTTAAGTCCCCATTCACACCGATACGACTTTGAAATCGTGCGACTTCCAGTGAAGTCGCACGATTTCAAAGCCAGATGTCATTGTCCAATGTGCAAGATGTCAAACACAGATGTGAATGCTCTACTTTAAAATTCGGTGCATCTCCCACCAAATTGGAATCACGCCGATATGACCGCTTTATTGCGGGACAATAGGTTGTGACTTGCCATGCAATTTGAAACTCGCATCGCATGGAAAATCTCATTGCAAGTCACACCGGGAATGACAGGGCACGTAAGGTAATATACAATCCAAACACAATGGGGTAGATTTACTAAAACATGTTAGCTCAGAATCTGGTGCGCCTGTGCATGGTAGCCAATCTGCTTCTAACTTTGTTCAATTAAGCTTTGGCGATGGAAGCTGCTGGGTTTCTATGTAGAAGTGCACCTAATTTTGCACCCTCGACCTTTAGTAAATAAACCCCAATGCATCTTCAAAAAAAAAAACATACAGGTTGAAATTTAATTACATCAAATTTAAAAACAGACAAAAAGTACTGTATTTGCCGGCGTATAAGACGACTTTTTATACTTACAAACATACCCCAAAAATCGGGGGTCGTCTTATATGTGGGGTATACATTGTGAACCTTTACTTTGTTTGGGCCAAGCTGGCTCAAAAATGAACGTCCCTAATCTATCAGCCTGCTGGATGTCCGGTAATACTGTATGTATGTCGGATTCGAGCAGGCTTTGTATTTATTAATAGAATACGTTGCTTGCCGTGATTGGCGCAGCGCGGTATACTGTACATACAGTATTACTGCACATCCAGCGGGCTGGCAAATTAGTGGGTGTATATTTAATCAAATCTGATGTTTATTGAAATCTGAGGTTTTTAAATGGTGTTGCCTCAGAAGGGGGGTAGTCTTTATATAGTGAGTAGTTTTTGGGCTGTATGTTTTAACTGGAAAATTAGGGGGTTGTCTTATACACCCAGTCACCTTATACGCCGCAAATATGGTAGTATTTTGGCTGGCCCATTTACATACACTATTGCCAAAAGTGTTGGGCCAGCTATTCAAATCATGTGATTCAGGTGTTCCAATCCCCTCCATGGACACAGGTGTATACAATCAAGCCCCTAGGCATGCAGACGGCTTCTACAAACATTGGGGAAAGAATGGGTCGCTCTCAGGAGCTCAGTGACTCCAAGCGTGGTCCCGTGATAAGTGACCACCTGTGCAATAAGTCCATCCGTGACATTTCCTGGCTACTAAATATTCCACGCTCAACTGTTAGTGGGATTATAACAAAGTGGAAGCAACTGGGAACAACAGCCACTCAGCCACCAAGTGGTAGGCCACGTCACATGACAGAGCGGGGGGTCAGCGCATGCTGAAGCACACAGTGCGCAGAAGTCACCAACTGTCTGCAGAGTCAATAGCTAAAGACCTCCAAAGTTGGTGTGGCCTTCAGATGAGCCCAACAACAGTGCGTAGAGAGCTTCATGGAATGGGTTTCCATGGCCGAGCAGCTGCATCCAAGCCTTACATCACCAAGTGCGATGCAAAGCGTCAGATGCCGTGGTGTAAAGCATGCCTCCACTGGACTAACTCTAGAGCAGTGGAGACGTGTTCTCTGGAGTGACCAATCACGCTTCTCTGTCTGGCAATCCAATGGACGTGTCTGGGTGTGGCAGTTGCCAGGAGAACAGTGCTTGCCTTACTGCATTGTGCCAAGTGTAAAGTTTGGTGGAGGGGGGATTATGGTCTGGGGTTGTTTTTCAGGGGTTGGGCTTGGCACCCTAGTTCCAGTGAAGGAAACTCTTAAGGTGTCAGTATACCAAGACATTTTGGACAATTTCATGCTCCCAACTTTGTGGGAAGAGTTTGGGGATGGCCCCTTCCTGTTCCAACATGACTGCGCACCAGTGCACAAAGCAAGGTCCATAAAGACGTGGAGGAACTTGACTGGCCTGCACAGAGTCCTGACCTCAACCCCATAGAACACCTTTGGGATGAATTAGAATGGAGACTGCGAGCCAGGCCTCCTCCCTCCGACATCAGTGCCTGACCTGACAAATGTGCTTCTGGAAGAATGGGCAAACCTTCCCATAGACACCCTCCTAAACCTTGTGGACGGCCTTCCCAGAAGAGTTGAAGCTGTTATAGCTGCAAAGGGGCGTGGCCAACCCAATATTGAACCCTATGGACTAAGACTGGGTGGCCATTAAAGGTCATGTGCGTGGAAAGGCAGGCGGCCAGGGGCGGACTTACCATTTGGAAACTCGAGGGCCCGGGGTCAGTAGGGGGCCCCATGAGATGCCTCTGGTACCTTTTTCATAGGCTTTTTTGAATTTGGGCAAGGACACAGGGGCCACATGATCCCCTATTGCCCGGGGGTCCCATGAGTTGTCAGTCCGCCCCTGCAGGCAGCCCAATACTTTTGGCAATATAGTGTATGTACAATGTAACATTATACAGGATACCCCATAGTCCATGATCTGATACTAATATGCATTCTGCATAGTGCTCACCTTGTCTGCACCATTGCCGGACCAGGACAGAACCGACACGTTTTGGAGAAGTCCTTTCTCGGGGATAAGTAGGGTATGCTGTAGTTCAAATCTTTTAGTTACATGTTTGTTTTACATGGACCTGTGGTGTTGACTACATTGTGCATACCATACTACTTTTTTTTTCAAAAGTTATACAAAAAGAAAGAGCAACCAGCCCTGGATTAAAAACAAAACAAAGTCAAGGTTGCTGTACTACAAGTCTCCAGCACCATGCATTATAATCACCTGGTGCTCCCCCAGAGTTCTAATGATCAAAGCTGCAAGGTCTGCATCCCTTTAGAAGTATTTAATCCATAGGGATAATCCTCACCAAAACTGAAATTCCTGGTACAAAGGGTACCTAAAATGTTAGAATCATGAGCCAATCACATAAGCAAGGAATGACATTTCTGGGGGCGATTCATATACCAATGGTGTGCAGAACACCTCTAGGTTGCCATATTTCATTGAATTTAACCAGGGGTTTATTTTTTCAACTGGAAAGTAGGGGAATGAAGTTCCAGCACCTCCAGCGCTGAATGTAATAGCAAGGAGTGCTGGATTGTACTGGAAGGTCTAGTTTCTGGCTGCTGGGAGATCTAGTGTCACTGAAGGGGATCTATTTTTGCATGGGGGTCTGTTGTGGCTGGGGAGTTCTATTGTTGCTGGGGGATCTTATGTTTCTGGGGGTTCCGTTATTTCTGAAAGGGATCTACTGCCCTGAGTTTGCACGTTCTCCCTGTGCCTGTGTGGGTTTCCTCCGGGTACTCCGGTTTCCTCCCACACTCCAAAGACATGCTGGTAGGTGAATTGGCTCCTGTCTAAATTGGCCCTAGTATGTGTATGTATGAATGTGAGTTAGGGACCCTAGATTGTACACCCCTTGAGGGTTAGGGACTGATGTGAATATACAATATATAAATGTAAAGCGCTGCGCAAATTGACGGCGCTATAGAAGTACCTGAAATAAATAAATACCGTTGAGAAAGAGGTCTGTTAATGCTGGCTTCTGGGAGATGCTTTTGGGGATCTATTGCTGCTGCAGAGGATCTGTTGCTGAGGTAGTATTTTTGTTGCGGGGGTCCTTTGTTGCTGGGGTAGTCTATTGTTGTGGGGGATCTATTGCAGCTGGGGAGTCTATTGTTGTGAGGGATCTAATGTTGCTGGGGTGTATTGTTGCTGGGGGGGTCTATTGTTGCTGGCTGCAGGGAATCTTTTTTACTGCTTTTCTTGCTATCATTAACAAATTCCAAATTACTTTTGCACCACAAAATGATACCTAGTTCTGTATTCTCTAAAAGGGACACTACTGGGAGGTGGGTAAGGGGTGGAACCAAGGGATGATGCTCGGAGGTGGGTAGGGGGCGGAGACAAGGTGTGATTCAGAAAGGAGGAGTTCCTGCACCTAAAATTAGTTGCTGCAGACTGAAAAAAGGTAATTTTAGTAACATTAAATTCCAATGTACAGTGGCTTGTGTAGCAATTTTATATACACTATAATTTTTTTTTTTTTGCTATTTTTTTTAATGAAAGTGGAGATACCCTGGCCACCAGTGAAATAGACAATATTATAGTAGCGAAGGCAACCCAGGAAAGAAGAAATAAATATGTATATAAGCCCTTTGTAACCGCAAAAAAAAATTGTATGGCAAAAAAAAGTTGACTCAATGACCGTTGGCTGGCTATTACAGCCCCTCCTATGGTTTGTGCGTTAGTTTGAGGACTTGGCTGGATATCCTGCATCAGCCTGACTCATTCAAGTATTCAGCACTTGTACCTCATCATGAGCTCGCTCCTGGGATTTCTATGTGTGCTCTCAGCTTTCACAGCAACTGGTGAGTCCATTCTTTTCAAATATATATGCTGCCTTGTACTGTATGTATCTTCAGCAGGCTTTCTCAACCTTTTTCAACACAAAGAAACCCTTGAAATAACTGTCCAGTCTCAGGGAAGCCCTGCTAATAATTACGACAACTCACGATACCCTAGTTTGATGGTCAGTGGGAGGAATGCTCCTTACACTTGTGGTCATTGGGAAGAATTACCCCTTTATAGGTAGCTAAAAAGACGAATGGTGTCAGTGGGAACGTATCTGAGAGACAGAAATTGTCCATTGCTCAGGGAACCCCTAGAAACCTCTGGTGGAACCCTAGTTGAGAAATCCTGATCTACAGTAAGAGCGATCTATATATTATAAATGACTATTCAGGCGGCTGCCTTGTACTGTATGTATCTACAGCAGGCTTTCTCAACCTTTTTCAACACAATGAAACCCTTGAAATAACTGTCCAGTCTCAGGGAAGCCCTACTAATAATTACGACAACTCACGATACACTAGTTTGTTGGTCAGTGGGAGGAATGCTCCTTACATGTGTGGTCATTGGGAAGAATTACCCCCTTATAGGTAGCTAAAAAGACCAATGGTGTCAGTGGAAACTTATCTGAGAGACAGAAATTGTCCATTGCTCAGGGAACCCCTACTAATAATTACTACAACTCATGATACACTAGTTTGATGGTCATTGGGAAGAATGCTCCTTACATGTGTGGTCATTGGGAAGAATTACCCCCTTATAGGTAGCTAAAAGATCAATGGTGTCAGTGGGAACTTATCTGAGAGGCAGAAACTACCCATTGCTCAGGGAACCCCTAAAAAACCTCTGGTGGAACCCTAGTTGAGAAACCCTGATCTTCAGTAAGAGTGACCTATAATATAAATGACTAGCCAGGTGGCTGCCTTGTACTGTATGTATCTACAGCAGCCTTTCTCAACCTTTTTCAACACAAAGAAACCCTTGAAATAACTGTCCAGACTCTGGGAATCCCTACTAATAATTACTACAACTCACGATACACTAGTTTGATGGTCATTGGGAAGAATGCTGCTTACACGTGTGGTCATTGGGAAGAATTACCCCCTTATAGGTAGCTAAAAAGACCAATGGTGTCACTGGGAACTTATCTGAGAGACAGAAATTGTCCATTGCTCAGGGAACCCCTACTAATAATTACTACAACTCATTATACACTAGTTTGGTGGTCAGTGGGAGGAATGCCCCTTACACATGTGGTCATTGGGAAGAATTACCCCCTTATAAGTAGCTAAAAAGACCAATGGTGTCACTGGGAACTTATCTGAGAGACAGAAATTGTCCATTGCTCAGGGAACCCCTACTAATAATTACTACAACTCATTATACACTAGTTTGGTGGTCAGTGGGAGGAATGCCCCTTACACATGTGGTCATTGGGAAGAATTACCCCCTTATAAGTAGCTAAAAAGACCAATGGTGTCAGTGGGAACTTATCTGAGAGGCAGAAACTGTCCATTGCTCAGGGAACCCTTAGAAACCTTTGGTGGAATCCTAGTTGAGAAACCCTGATCTTCAGTAGGAGTGACCTATATGTTATAAATGACTAGTCAGGCGGCTGCCTTGTACTGTATGTATCTACAGCAGCCATTCTCAACCTTTTTCAACACAAAGAAACCCTTGAAATAACTGTCCAGTCTCTGGGAACCCGTACTAATAATTACTGCAACTCACGATACACTAGTTTGATGGTCAATGGGAGGAATGCTCCTTCCACGTGTGGTCATTGGGAAGAATTACCCCCTTATAGGTAGCTAAAAAGATCAATGGTGTCAGTTGGAACTTATCTGAGAGGGAGAAACTGTCCATTGCTCAAGGAACTCCTAAAAACCTCTGGTGGAATCCTAGTTGAGAAACCCTAATCTACAGTAGGAGCGATCTATATTTTATGAATGACTAGTCAGGCGGTTAGGAGGAAGACCTTCTCAACTGCTGTCGTAAAGTGTATAGGCTCGATTCGCTAATCTATAACACACATTATTTGTCGTAGCGATCATTATTTTCAGCAATGTTTTTGGCATCAGGTAAATCATACCACTTGAAGCTACTCATTGCGCAAGGATGCTGAAGCAAGAGATGTCACCATCAGACATGCAAACATAATTATTTAGCAGCAAACCCTGAGAATAAGAATTGTTCAACCACCGTTGTATTTGTAGGGGCTTTAATTGTTTGATAGTTTTGGGATTTGTGGGGAGCTGTTGAGTTGCTGCCAGTCTGGATGTTCCTTTGTTTCTGGGTGTGCCTAGGCTCAGGTTGTTTACTGCTTTCTTGCAAACTGGTGTTGAGCATGTTCCGAGAGTCGGTGTCCAGTTGTGTATTTAGGTTTTGTGCTGCCCCAGGCAACACAAAAATCGGAAGCCCCCTCTCCTCAGCGCAGAGAGCCTGACACTGACCTACACCAGTGACCAACAACACCCCTACCCCCCACCCAGGGGTGGACTGACAACTAGCGCTCATGGGGCTCCCGGGCAAAGGGGATCATGGGACCCCTGTGTCCTCGCCCACACCCAAAAAAAGCTATCTAAAAAGCCAACGAAAGGTACCAGGGGTCAGCTCATGGGGCCCCTACTGATCCTTGGCCCTCGGGCAGTGGTCTCCAAACCTTCTAAGTAAGGGGCCAGTTTATTGCCCTTCAGGCTTTAGGGGGGCCAGACTGTGGCCTTGTGGGAGTAGAATCACAGTTGAAATGCACCATGTTCTTGTATCATGTATCTGTGGGAGGAATAGTGTCCCCATTGATGGGGTCAGTGTGAGGACTAGTGTCACATTAATGCATGGCAGTGGGAAGCAATATTGCCCCATCGATGGTGTCAATGGGGGGAATAGTGCCCCATTTGATGGGGTCAGTAAGTGGTGAGGAATAGTGACCTCAGTTTGATAGTGTCATGAGAAAGAAGTGCCCCATTGATGGGGTGTCAGTAGCAGGAATAGTTGCCCCATCGATGGTGACAGTGGGAGTAATAGATCCCGTTCATGGGGTCTGTGTACAGGAATAGTGCCCCATTGATGGTGTCAGTGAGAAAGATATAGGCCCCAACCGATGGTGACAATGGGAGGAATAGTGACCCCCGTTTATGGGGTCAGTGGGAGGAATAGTGTCCCATCAATGGTGATCAGTGGGAGGAACAGACCCCATTGATGGGTACAGTGGAAGGAATAGTGCTCCCATCAATGGTATCGGGTGGAGGAATAGTGCCCATCATTGGTATCAGTGGGAGGAATAGTGCCCCATCATTGGTGTTAGATGGAGGAATAGTGCCCCATCATTGGTGTCAGTGGAAGGAATAGTGCCCCATTCATGGTATCAGTAGCAGGAATAGTGCCCCATCATTGGGTGACAGTGGAGGAATAAAGTGTCCCATCATTGGTGTCAGTGGAGGAATAGTGCCCCATCATTGGTATCAGTGAGGAAAGATAGTGCCCCAGCATAATTGGTATCAGTGGGAGGAATATGTCCTCATCATTGGTATCAGTGGGAGGAATAGTGCCCCATGAATTGGTGTTAGATGGAGGAATAGTGCCCCATCATTGGTATCAGTGGGAGAAATAGTGCCCCATCAATGGTATCAGTGTGGGAGGAATAGTGCCACATCATTGGTGTCAGGTGGAGTGAATAGTGCCCCAAAGACCAGATAAGAGCAAGCAAAGGGTCACAGTTTTGGAGACCACTGATTAAAAGCATCCAATATGGCAAACGTACTACCGGTTGAATTTTTAGTGCGGTCAGGAAATGCTAGTCTTCATCAAGACTTAACACAGGTCCCTTGGTTTATTCTTTGGTGATTTATTAACATTGACTATTCAAGCCTTGAAGAAGGGGGATCTTTTTTGCCCCAAAATATGTTGGCTGTATTTAATACTTTTAACCATTAATTTTTCAAAACGTCCTTCAAGTGAGATGAACTTTTGTGAACACTGCTCCTTACAAACCCCAAGAATTTACTGTCTGGTGAGCGCTTCCTTTGTTTACCAGGGGCGGACTGACCATTTGGAAACTCGGGCGCTGCCCGAGGGCCCGGGGTCAGTAGGGGGCCCCATGAGATGCCCCTGGTACCTTTTTCATAGGCTTTTTTGAGTTTGGGCAAGGACACAGGGGCCCCGTGATCCCCTATTGCACGGGGGCCCCATGAGTTGTCAATCCGCCCCTGTTTGTTACTATCAGAGAGGCAGCAGCCTAGGACCAGAACAGGGTCCACCCATACTATCCTACAATCAGGGATCTGCTTTTTTGAAGGAAAGATCACTTTATCTATCGGAATCATTTTTTATGTCTATCGGTCCAAACCAGGGGCGGACTGACAACTCATGGGGCCCCCGGGCAATAGGGGATCATGGGCCCCTGTGTCCTTGCCAAACTCAAAAAAAGCTATGAAAAAGGTACCAGGGGCATCTCATGGGCCCCCTACTGACCCCAGGCCCTCGGGCAGAGCCCCTGAGTTTTCCAAATGGTCAGTCCCCCTGGGTCCAACGCTATCACACACATCAGGCCAACAAAATGTGCCCATGTCACCCAGTAAACAATGTAGACACCAAATGATGAACCCCCACTGCTCTGCAGTGAAGCATATAGAAGACTCAAGACCCCAATCTCATGTGACCACATAATTATTATACATTGGAGCAGCTTTTTTAAGTAAAACAGCAGTCAGAATGGTTTGGGGGGTTCAGCTTAAACCCATTCCTCATGTAACATTTTTTGTTTTTTTTTATATTTTACAGGTTATTCCCTTTCATGTAAGCTATGCGTGGGTTCAGATTCTTCATCCTGCATTGGTACATTGGAGACATGCCCCCCTGACCATGCGTGTGGCGCTGTTCGCACAGTAACCAAAATCAGTAGGTTATATGGGATGCACCTGCTTAAATTGCTGTACAATTTCCAATAAATTGGGCTAAAATGATTGAAAGAAAGTTAAAATGAAAATCAAAGTGGTTGTAGACCTCAGACATGAAATGAGAAAAAAGCATCTCCCTCTATAGTGTGTACTTGTTTCAATCCAGAGCACTAAGGGTCATTTCTATTTGCTGCCTCATTCTTCTGCTATCTGAGCCACTTCTGACATGTTTTTTCCTGACACCAAGAGAAAAAAAAGGTGACAGGGAGGGAGCTGCAGCACACAGCATGTGATTAACAGCCTCAGCATTTTTCCTGTGAGCTATGTGGAGGAGGGTTTGTCCCTCCCCTCCAATCAGCTCTCAGCTCTCCACACTGCTGTGTAGTTTCAGGTCCCTGCCCCTGTTTTCTGGAAGTTCAGACAAGCTGTATAAATTCAGCATTTTGGATGGCGGTAGAGAAAGGAGGACCACAGATAAACAGGTACAACCTATGCAGAAGAATGTGTTTCATCTCTGTGTATCACCTGAGGCCAGTCATTTCACTGGTTACATGTAGGGGTTTACAACCACTTTAAAGTAAAGGTCAAAGGTTTGGTTTTTTTTGTAACCCTAGTGGAGAAGAAAAGGGTTAGAACCCACCATCTCCTTTGCCCTGGTGGCCATTGTCACCTGAACCAAAAGGGATAGGGAAATTTTTTATGGCTGTAAAATCTGAGTGGGAATTTTTGGAAGGCTGCACCAGTTTCATTGACATCTAAGAAGGGATTTTCCTCTTACTTCTTCTTGTGTTTCTGGGAAAAGAAATGAATGGAAGCTTCCTCCAAAATAAGCTTTGCCTTTTATATGTACTTTAAAGAAAAAAAAAAATAATGGACATGCTCCTTGAACATTGCTCTCAATATTCTCGTAGATGAAAATGAAGTGGACTTATATTTCATCTCCTGCGTGCCTTTAAAAGAGTGTAACAGCCCTGGAAGTATCAGTGTCCCCAAAGGAAAGATACGGAGAGGAACCAGCTGTTGTCACACCAGCAACTGCATCCCTCCTGCACCCCGGTGTAAGTGGATCCAAAAACCGCCATTGTTTTACCATTATTAAGTATTTATGTGTGGATACGCTTCCCTAAAAAATGTAGCAAAATTCCAATTCTCTTCTGTTTGCAGAAAAGACATCAAAAGACCTCAGATATCTCTAGAAAGGGCATGCATGTTTTCATCTACTGTTTTTGATTGCAGGCAATGAACTCCTTTAGCAGCAGCGTCTACATTTTTGTTAGGTGTAATAGTAGATCTATAACCAACATGTCTTTCATCGCAACTAAACACCAAAATGGTTGGTCTGGGGTCAGGGTGTATTTACCACAAGGCAAACAAGGCACTTGCCTAGGGCGACATTTTTCAGGGGGGCAGTGATGCCCCCTGAAAGAAGGGATGGAAGAAGGGACACATGCAGCATGGGGACCTGGTGGGATCTGAGAGAGACTGTGAGGCTGCTTGATGGTATATGCAGAGCCTGACTCTTGTCCCCGGATGTCCGGAGCTGTGAAGGTGAGTGTCTTCTCTCTCACTGGGGCAGGTGGGGGGGTTGCCAGTGTATGGGGGGGGGTGGTAGTGGAAGGCTCTCTTGGGTGGGGGGGGGTTTGGGATGTTGTTGGTGGTCAATATCAGGCTCTCTTCATGGGGTAGGGGGGTGTTGATCAGTGTCAGGGTCTCACTGTGTGTGTGTGGGGGGCGATTTTTGTGTTGCCTAGGGCAGCACGAAACCTAAATACACCACTCTCTGGGGTGCAAGGGAAGCTGAGCTGTTCAGAGAACCAATTCATTGTCTTTAATGATTCTGCTTTGAGGATGAATTGCTCCACAGTGCAGCATCAACACAGGTTACTGGGAGGTTGTTTTAAAGCTCATTTATTTCTGTAGCTTGACCATAGGTTCATTTTAAAAAGAGAAGTTCGGGAATTTAAAAACCAAACATTCATACTCACCTAGGTGGATGCAGCTTTGATCCGATGCTGCACCTGTCCCTTGCTGACTGTAAAGCGAAGAACTGTGTGATCAAACACCTTTGATCCCTCAGCTCTCGGTCCTCAGTTGGCAGAGAGCTGGTGACTGTCAGTCACCTTCTCTGTGCTCTACCCTCCTGTGGTCACTGGAGTGTCGGGCTGTGGACGGTAGTGGCTGCTTAGGCTCTCAGCGACTCACCAAGAGGCTGAGCCTTCTGCCGGTCCAGGCATTTGGGTGGATCTCAACTTTAAAGCTGGGATTCTTAATGAGCCTTGACTGGCAAGCACGCTGTTGGTTGAAAACAGGTCATGGGAACAAAGTGCACTCCTGTGATCCATAGGAGAAAGTATGACCAAAATAGCTTCTCCTTTAACCCCTTTGCATTGGTGCCTCCCGGCCCTTTAAGAGTTTGGGAGGTGAGGGGGTGGAGTTTTAGGGTCATGTGATCGCCGTGATTCGCTGTCACGGTGGTCACACGATCGTAAAAAGGTCCCGATCGCAAGGGGAGATCAGGACCTTTCCATGAGTCAGGGACATATGTGCTGGGAGCGAGCAGGGCGCGCACTGCTAGCACATATGTATTTTCAAATGGTGCGCAAATATGAGGAGGCCGCTCGACGTCAAGGCCCAGATGCCGAGAGGCCGCATTTTTGTGTGCGCTCAGCGTCTAGAGGTTAAGTTCACCCTGAGTATCATAAATACCACACTGAACATATAGAGGTCAGAAACTGCCCCTAAATTTCTGAGTAGTTGACGCTTGAAAAAAAAAAATCTAAAATTTTGACCAACAATAAGCACTGCCCACAAACATCAAAACTGTGGTCAACCAACTCAACAATGGAGTCCTATTTCCCTAAAAGTGTCCAAGAACTAAAACCGTGCATGTATGTGTGCAACTATGCATTTTATGGAAACCAAATCTGGGTTAAACTATCTATATAATTTTTTTGGAGTCACTCCCTTGCTGACTGGAAGAGCAATATGCCTCTCCATTGCTGCCTTCCTACTAGCATTTTTTTGGCTAGCAAGGGAGCAATACCATAGAGGTAAGTGAATGGTACTTTTGATGTGTTGCCAGCAGGAGACTTGTCAATGTAACATCAGTTACACCACATTCTTCTTGCAGTCCATTTTTAGGAGTATGCCCCTTTGAGAGGGTGACCTGTAAGTACACGATGCAACAACCCACCAACAAAAGTAGGATAGCACTAGAAGGCACTTTGGCACCTTTTGCTATACATGTAAAAATAATACTGACAGTTACCAATATGGCCATCCCAGCAGTCCCCGAAAAAAAACAGGTAAGGCCTGTGAAGTCAGATTTTTTTAATGCTGTCTTTGTCCCATTTGGAGATATCCAAACCTCTCTTGTCCCAGGTGACCATTGACTAATTGTGAGGAATCCAAAATTTTACCACTTTCACCCAGAACAGGAACAGAGGGTAATCTTCCACCAGTTCTCATAGAACTGCCCAAGAGCTGATCTCTCACTTTGGGTAAATGTCTTCTCACTTCCTGTTTGGTCACAAGGGAAAGGAAGTGCAGGAAATGTCCCCAGACAGCTAAAAAAAGGTAAGAATATAAAACGCTGGATGAGGTTCTCACCATTCCCCTTCTCTATCTAAAAGTAAGAAACCGTTTGACTTGATTTTTGCAAAAATAATCATTAACACTCTATGTAGGTGCCTTTACTGTAAAATGATTGGGCGTCATGCCAATCTGAGGTTATTTTCATGCTGTTTCCAAAGTACGGCAGATGACAAAGAAGCCAATGGATTATTCTTGCATGGCACATGTGTGACAGAAACTTCAGCCCACTGCTCTGCAAGAGGAGGTAATGGAATGTACCGGAAAAGAAGACATGTGCCTCTTCCAAACTTCCGTCACCACAGGTAAAAAAAAAATTGTTATACAAAATAGATATATTGATAAAAAACTTTATCTTTGTGACCTAGATGAACATCAGACAACAACATTTATGTAGCGAAATGAAACTACTGGGGACCCCAGGAACATACAGTATAATGTATGCACCACAGGAAACTTACTTAGTCCCAATAGACACACATAAGGTCCTAAAAAAAAAACCATAATAGGAGTAAATAGCATAAAAATCTGAACGTTTTTTGGGAATTTGCTTGTGGTGGTGTTGGTGATTGTGGTGACTTTTTGGTGTAATGATTTTGAAGGCTGGGATGCAGAACTAATGTATTGAAAACTTGTTTTTGACCCGGTGGGCAGAACGTTTTTCACAGTCAGGGCATAAGATTTTAGCGAGTGTAGTAGGTTCAGGTTTGAAGGCAGCACCTGGCGAGGGTGGTGCTTTATTTTTTCTTGGCTGATTTGTGTATTTTTGTTTGGAAGTGTAGACTTTTTTTTTATTCTGATATAACCTTCATTTTTCTAGTGATTTCCTGATTTGGGTTTGGTATTTTTTGTTTTTTTTATCTAGCCACTTTACATTTCTTGCCAAATTGAACTGGAGGCAGGCACTTTAAAAGTTAATGCTTGACCCAAGATTTTTTTTTCAGCTTTTTTGAGAATTGTGAGAGAAATGAACCTTCACCATATATTATTCCGCCACCTTTTTCTTTTAGTTTTTGGGTTTATAACCATTTCAAGGTTTTGATGAATGCAAATAGTAGGAATATGTTCATACATATTGTTTGGTGCAGCCAAATCAATCTTTTATTTAATGGTTCCTTTGCTGTTCTTTTGTATTTTTTTTTTTCCGTAACACTTCTGGAGTTTTTTTTTTTTTTTTTCTTTTTATGGTCCTTATATGATTTTTGGGCTTAGGAATTTTATTCATCACCCATTTTTGAGTATATTTATGATCTCACGCCATCCATGTAGAGCCTGAAGAAAACAAAGCTTTTTGAGAGTTTTTATTTGAGAAATTAGCCTTCATTTTTTTAAGTATTTGGACACCTTTTTTTTTACTTTTCCAATGTGTGATGTTTATTAGCTTTTGGCGGTTCATGGTGATTATTTTTTTGTTATTTGGCATTTATTTTTATTGTATGGTGCAGGCATTTCTCTATTTTTATTTATTGCTGTTTTCAGTTTTTAGAACAGTGGTTCTTTTTCCTAATTGCCGTGACCCTTTATACAGTTTATGTTGTGGTGACCCCCAACCATAAAATTATTTTTTGGTTTAGCTTTTTAATTATATTCATAAATTGTTTGTTTTAGTCGTGGTTTACCTCCAATACTGCTGCTTTCAAACACAGTAGCTGTTTTTTAACAGAGTAGCTGCTTTTTTTGTTTTTTGTTTTAAACACATCGGAAATATTGTTTTTGATGGTTTAGGGGACCCCTTTGTGAAATTTTTCGTTCGACCCCCAAAGGGGTCGCGACCCACAGGTTGCAGAACCACTGGCTTTTTTTTTTTTTTCCACAAATATCCTTTTTTTTATTTGATTTTTCTTTTTGGTCCCTGTCTTTTTTGTTTTTTTTTTTTTTAGTTTTTGCTTTGGTTGATTACATTGTTTTATATTTTTTTTCTCACTTCATCCATGTTTCCTCTTTAAGAAGCAAAGTTTCTGAGAAACATGTTGAGAAATTAGCCTGTTTTGTTTTTTTTTTGTAGAACCCTTTTTACTATACTTTTGCATTTGATGGTTTAGGCCAGTCAAGGTCATGGTTTATGAATGCAGATGGTTAGAGTCTAAAACATATTGTATGGTTTTTTTTTATCTATTTTTATTGAATGCTTTTCTTCAGTTTTTTAGATTTCCACAACACTCCTTGTTTTTGACCATTTTTTTATTGGCTCTTGGGCATGCCCGAGGGCGAGGTCAGTAGGGGGCCCCATGAGATTGTACGTTGGTACCTTTTTATTTGGCTTTTTTTGCCGAGTTTGGGCAAGGAGTTATTTATGTTGATTGATTTTGCCCGGGATTTTCATGAGTTGTCAGTCCACCCCTGGTCCTAGAAGTTTTTGATTTTTTTTTCTTTTGGTCCCTATAAGGCATGGGAATTTTAGTTTGCTTTGGTTACCCATTCCGATATATCTTTCTTTTTCATCCATGTTCCTCTTGAAGAAGGCAAAGTTTCTTTGGTGTCTTATTTTAGCCTTCACCAGGTGGTGGCTTAACCGGCCAAGGTCATGTTTTTTTTGTTCCATGGTTGCAGTTATAACAGTTTTTGTACGGTGCAGACAACTGTTGGTTTATTTTTAAAGGTTGCCTTTTTCAACTCAGAATTTCCACACCACTCTTTGAGTATAGTATGGTTTGCTGTTTTATTTTTATATTTTTTTTTAAAAAAGTATTTTTTACAGTTTTATTTTAAAAAAAATTTTAATTTTGTTATCAAATTTATGATACATTTTTTTTCCCATTTTCTAGGGTTTCCAAAATATATTGTATTTTTAGGTTGGTATATACATTGTATATAAAAAAGGTTTAAATTTTAATCAAAGATGTTGTATTTAGTTATTACATTGTTAGGGTGCAATGCATTTTCACTTGGTTTTAGAGTGCCAACTTGAGCAACCAAAATTTACAACAGGGGCTGTGATTCCACTCAATCAATATTGTCTCAGCTGTATTTTTTTATTTTTTGTTTATTATCCCCTTTTTTTTTTACAGGTTTCATCAACACCCAGGAAGCTCATTTGTTTGTTTTATCCACCAAATCCTATTGCGATAAATGTTTAAGTTTCTGTAAAATCTTTTTTTTTTAAATTTTTATTTGATTAGTTTGTCTTTTTGTCACTACAGTTTCGCTCCAAATTAGACAATGGGGCAACTCCCACAAAGGTCATTTTTTCCTTCAGTAATTTTTGTTTTCAGTCTTGTTTTACTTTTTTTTATTTTTTTGGTTTATATTTGCAGTATTTTGATTTGTTTTTTGTATGGTTTTTTGATTTTTCTATTATTAAAAGGTTTTTTTAGAAAATTATTTACATTTTAGTTTCTTGGTGGGAAAGATTAAATTTTGATGATGGAGGAACTTTATTTCTTTCTTTGTTAAAC